CTATATATAATGTAAGACAACTGTAAGTTTATAACATTTAAAGGGTTTCGACCCATATATTTTGGTGGCTCATAGCATGTATACCTCGTTTACACTGATGATGGATTTAACAATCCGAAAACGTTCTGTAATTTAATTGTGATAGCCCGTTTGGGCATTTTATTATATACCTTTTATAAAGGATTTGAAATAAAATTTTTTAGACCTTCTCTCATTTACTTGACTCCAACACAATATTCCAAATCCAGAAACCCTTCATATTAAAAATAACTACCTCAATATATCTACGTCAATATATATCAATTCTTTTAATTTGGTCATTTTACATCTTTATCGAATTATTCTTTTATTTACCTACCATGACTGGTAAAAACTGCTAATAATAAAAGATTCAGTTGCATTTTTTTCTCATATACCTACTTAAGTTCTTGTTCAAACTCATCGCACCACTTTATTTACCAATTAACTTTGATAATTTAAGACATTAGCCTAAATCATAGTTGAGCTATATCAAGTAGGTATTCTTGTAAGCTTTGAATAGTTATGACTATATGATATGTCAACTGGATGAGAGAAAAACAATAATTGTTTGCATTTGAGTTTTGTCTGTTTAAAGTTGTTTAAGTGATGATCTTTCTATGCAAATAACAAAAAAGAGTACATTAGATTAATACACATCAATACAATATAAACAAAAAATGCTTGTACTATTTATTTTTTGAACGAGTATGGCTACCTAGTACTGGCCTGACGCGATCCTTCTCGCTGAATTGTAGTCGAAACGAGTATTTTTCTTGTAGTAAACTTTTTTAATTTGAGCGATAATGATCTAAGAGGATATAGTTTCTTAATGTGACAGTTGTATATAAGTATATTATGGGAAAATACCTATTGATATACATGTATTTACCAACTGAAAGCAATATTAACAAATTACTTAAATATGATTATGATGAAATTGAAGTTTGATTGCTAATCTGTGACTTTATAGACTTAATAAGCAATAATCTGCCAGTATTTATTGCTACTATGTTTTTATTATTACTCATAATAAGTTGGTCATAACAGTGGATCCAGAGGTTTTTGTTTGTCCAATTTATGTTTGACTCTTAAAGATTTTATACATTGTTAGATCTCCCTGTAAGTCTCTAATACATCTGTATTTTATTTGATGTAATACCGTCACTAATTTCTAACAATAACCAATACGATCTTCTTTATCCCATATCTAAATTTAAAATTACCATCGACACCCACACAAACAAAACACCGTAGTGTTCTTAGAGTTCTTAGTGTTGATTGCGCGTTAAGTCGTGAATACCAATTTGACAAACAAGATACTAGCATTGATATCTTTCATTAATCTTTTCTTTTGTGACTGTGTAGATTTTTACGATTTCGAAGACAATGCTACAATATGCGACAAGCATAAATATCGGTGTGATAAGAGGTTCTAACTTAGTTTGAGCATGAAAGAATTTGAATTGTTTACAGGAAATATATGAAATTAGAAAATATACAACTCTATTGCTAATTATTGTTTGTTGTTCATACTAATAAAGATATAAAAAAGGTCAGTAAGAAAAGCTAACAACAGAAAAACTTACATAAGTTAATAATCGATTAAAACCAGCAAAAATATTGGGTTCTGAAACTGTTTTCTCGATTAAGTTAAAAATTTGTGTATATGTAGGATTAAGTCACAAATAATTGTAATGATAATTACATTCTTAACTAAAAGTCTCATGTTTTGATTTTCACTACGGAAATAATATAAAATAAAAAATAAAATAAATTATATCATAAAAAATACTATTAAACATGCAGAACTACCAAAGTATGCTGAAAATTGCTTGCAAGTTACAGTTATGTTAACAGTCGCAGTAGTCTACTGTCCACCCCGATACAATTTAACGAAAGAAGACTTTAAAAACTTCTTCGAAACTCTAGGGCATAAATTTATTGCGTGGGGAGACTTCAACAGTAAACATATAATATTTGGATCTCGTCTTACAACAACTAAAACTAGTAAGCCTAATACATGAAAACAACTACCACCCTTTGTCAACAGGCTCTCCTACATACTGGCCAATGGATCCAAACAAAACACCTGATCTGCTGGATTTATTTATCACTCAGGGCATCTCTCCTGGTTACATTAAGGTCATGCCAAACTATGATCTCTCATCTGACCACTTATAGCGACCATCAGCAGCTTTATAGTCTACAAAACGGCCACACCAAGGCTACACACTGGGAGAACTAACTGGGAAAAATTCCGCAGTAAATTAGAAGAAGATATTAGTCTACAAGTAAGCCTCAAGACAACAAGGGAGAGAGAGAGAGAGAGAGAGAGAGAGAGAGAGAGAGAGAGAGAGAGAGAGAGAGAGAGAGAGAGAGAGATGAAACATTAACGGCTTTAAACAACATTCTTATAGAGGTCGTACAAAATGCTACACCTGCGAACAATACAGGTAGCAAAGCCCAATACATCCTAGCTGAAATTAAAATGTTGGTAGCTCAATAAAGGACAGCTAGGACCAAATGGCAACAATTTCATGCCCCAACAGACAAGACTACATTAAACAGGTTAAGCAATCAACTAAAATCCAAACTTAAAGAGGCATAAGAACTGTCAATTACAAACTACATTATAACAAATCTAAACCGGTACGATAACTCAATTTGGAAACCTATCAAAAACTCCAAAAAACCCAAGACTCCGGTACCTCCAATTAGAAACGGACCAACACTACAGTGGATCAGAAATGATGAAGAAAAAACAACGCTATGTGCCGAGCACCTAGCTCAAGTATTTACTCTCAACAACGACGCTCCAGATATTGAAATTGAAAATGACATAAATAACATTCCAGAGAATATACCAGTAATCAGACTACTAACCAAAAATAAGTTCAACAAGAAATCCAATATTTAAACATTAGAAAAGCATTTTGCTGGACAAAATAACACCCAAGATGATGAAGGAAGTAACAGATAAAGGAATCATACTGATTACTCTCATCTTCAATACTTCTTCTTCTTCTTCTTCGTCTAGCCATTCACATCCACATCTGAACATAAGCCTCTTCAAGTCTTCCTTTCCATTGTTTTTTATTGTACGCTACTTGTAGCCAATTTGTCAATACTATGCTACGAATAAACTACTGACCAAAGCTCTCTAAAACCGCTGAAATAATACTAATCCCAAAAGCAGGAAAAAATCCAAACGAGGATTCATCATATAGGCCAATAAGCCTACTACCAGTCGTATCCAAAATACTTGAAGGGTTACTGCTAAAAAAAATTAACTCAGACCCCAATACGGAAGAATAGATACCCAGCCACCAATTTGGCTTTCGAAAAAAAAAAAAAACACTCGACAATACAGCAGGTTTACAGCAGCAGCAATGAAAAGCAAACACTACTGCATAGCTGCTTTTCTAGATGTTAGTCAAGCCTTTGATAAGGTTTGGCACACAGACCTGATTTTCAAAATCAAGAAATATTTACCCATCACGTACCTGAAACTGTTAAAAATCCTATCTGAGTGGGAGAGAATTCAGAACAAGAGTGAATGAAAGTAATTCCAATAATTTTCCTATGAAATCTGGTGTTTCATAGGGCAGAGTTCTTGGACCAATATTATATGTGCTATACACAGCAGATCTACCCTCCACTAATGAAACCATCACTGGCACGTTTGTAGATGATGCTGTCATCCTTGCAGCCGACGAAAATCCAATAAGAGCATCTAGCATTCTACAGGTACAACTGAATGAAATCGAGACAAGTGACTTTTACCTTGAGAAGAGACCCCAATTTCACTTAACAATATCCAACTTCCCAATCCTCTACTACCAGATACCTAAGAATATATCTTGACTCACCTGGAAAGAACATATTCTTAAGAAGCGAAAACAAATTGACCTAAGAATGAAAGATCTAAACTGGTTAGTAGGCAGAAAATCGAAAATGAGCCTTGAAAACAAAATCCTTGTATACAAAACCGTAATAAAACCTATCTGGACATATGGAATCCAACTCGGGATGTGCGAGCAAGTCAAACACATCCATAATTCAAAGATGCCAATCAAAAATACTTCTAACGATAGCTGATGCACCTTGGTATGTGTCAAACCTAACACTTCTTGAAGACCTAAGAATGCCGTTCGTACAGGATGTAATCACTAAATACAGCACGAAGAACTGGAATCACATGGTAATTCCTTACTCCAACCTCTACTAAAACACCAAGCTAATAGGAGACTCAAAAGGAACTGACCAGCTGACCTGAAAAACGGTTAAAGTGGTCTTGTCACTGGAGAAGACCTCACCACGCCAATAGGAGCCCCTTGCTCCGCAGCCAGCACATTAGCTTATAGAACTTTATATGTGTTTTGATTGCTAAATATCGTGTCATAATAAAAAAACTCCGGAAATCGTTTTTAAAAAAAGATAGTTTAGTTAAGTCTTGTGTTAAAAGGTGTGTATAGCTGTTGAAGAGGTTATGTCTTTTCAAAATTGAAAGTTGACTTACTTGATCCCGGTGTTGTAGGGAACAGCTATGATTGGGCTAAAAAGATGTTTGGATGAAAAAAGGTGGATTTTTGCCCTATGGGACTTCAAATACTGAAGTGTTTCTGCATTATGCTTTATGAGTTTGTATATGTGTGAGTGTTCGTGTATTGTGTTTGTATATTGTGTGTCTACTTTAAAATGTACAATATATGACTGAACTGTCAATATAAATAAACTGAATAATAATTATAATAAGCAGACCTCAAACAAGATGAACAAATCACATCAAAAGAATGGCTGGTCAAGGATCGATACAAAAAACAAAAAGGAAAAATCATAAAAGAAATGATCAAATAAAAGAAGAATGATAACTAAAATGTTATTCAAGTGTAAGTTGTTCAAGTGCAACTAAAAATGTAAGTTGTAGTTCAGTATCTTTCTAATCTGCAAGCATATATTGCGTACATAAAAAAACTTACCCTCATCGCAAGAAGTTCCATCACACAAAACTTTGGCTTGACTACAGTTTTTTCCTTGCCATACCTCTGGACAATGACAGTAATAGTCAGATTGAGTTTTAAAACACGGAGCACCATTTTGACAGGGATCTGGATTGCAGTGGTCGTAGTCGTTCTATAAAAATAAAGGATATACATATTTTCAAACTGCAAGTGAACTTATACATACTTCACATTCGTGGCCAGTGATCCCTACAGGGCAGATACACTTGTATCCGTTTACTTGGTCTACGCATTCTCCACCGTTTTTGCATGGATTTGATTCGCAGTCGTCTATATCGGTGTGGCAATCTCTCCCTGAAAATAAATTATAATAAACACCAGCGAATACTAGAGTAGGTTTTAATCGCTATAACGGCAGATTTTCTAAAAGTTTCGTTGTGAATAAAAGAATTCTTTGCATAAACTGAATATTTTATGAAGTTTTATACGATAAAAATCATTGTACTTAAAAATATCATCAATTTTGTAATTATAATCTAGTTATTGGTTATAATTTACTAACCTGTATATCCGGGCTTACAAGCGCAATGGTAATCGTTGACTAAATCGATACAAGTTGCACCATGTTGACATTGGCCAACGCAATCGTTGATGTTCTGATCACAGTTTTTTCCCATCCAGCCCACTCTGCATTTGCAATGATAATCGCCTACTAGATTGGTGCATGATACGGCATTAATGCAGGGATTATTGAGACATTCGTCGGCGTCTGAAACGGTGTTGAGAAATTTAATGTGGGGTTAGCTAAGAAAATTTAAATAAAACCAATCTTCCCGGGGTCTATTATAATTATAAGAAGCCAAAAGAAAAATACACGAATATTATTTAAAAACTTTTTATGTATTTTAGGTTTTCTATCTGCTATACGAATAATACTTAATAAATGGAAAACAAAAGCGTTTAAGCATTTCCGTTTTTCAAATCAGAGGTAATTGTCAACACAAATTACATAAACAAAAAACTGCTTTTTGCTTGCCATAAATAAAATATTAGATAATTTACCAAAACTTGTTAAAGCAAGATTATATGCTGATGATTTAGTGTTATACGCAAAAGGAAACAATATTCGCTCGATACAAAAAAAATCTACAATGTACATTAAATCATCTTGAAAATTGGTCAAAAGCTGTGGGAGTACAATTTTCTACTACCAAAACAAAATGTATATTGTTCTCAAAAAATCGACATTGATTACGGATCAATAGTTTACGCTTCTGCCAAGAAAACATTACTTGCTCAGCTCGAAACTATACAGAATACAGGATTAAGAATAGCCACAGGAGCTATTTGTACCAGCCCAATTGAAAGTCTACAATGTTTAACTGGCGAACCACCTTTGAAATTCAGGAGAACATATCTATCGTTAGCTTATGCTTCAAATATTCAATCAATAAAGTCACATCCCGCTCTTCATAACACAATTGGGGACCGTTTTAAAGATATTTATATTAAAAAAACTCGAACAGATCCTCCATTCTACGAGAGAATTCGAAGGTTTTTATCCTCTTATAGCATTCAATTTCCAAACTTCTTTAGTAAGCCGACTACGGCTGCATTTCCACCATGGACAATACCCCCTTTACAATGCGATCTAACTCTTACCAAATACAACAAATTTAAAACTCCTCACAAGTTAATAAACCAAGAATCACTTAACAAACTCTCCTGTTTTTCTAATTATTATCACATCTATACAGATGCATCCAAATCCACTGATGGTGAAGGATCAGCAATTGTCACTCCAAATACCACATTGCAATTTAAACTATCACCTACTAGCAGTATTCTCTCTGGAGAACTGTACTCGATTCTACAAGCACTAATTCACATAAACAACCACAATATCTCAAAAACCCTGATAATTACTGACTCTCTTAGTGCATTACATTCAATCAAACAGCTCTATACCAGTAACCCTATCGTTCACCTAATACAACATCAATTACACCTTATAAACCAGGCAAAACAGCAAATTCGTTTTTTCTGGGTTCCATCACACACTGGTTTGGAAGGCAACGAAAAAGCGGATCATTACGCTCGTGAAGCAATACAAAGTGCATCATCAATAACAGTGAAAATGACTCGATTGCGTATAGGACACAGCAAACTAACCCATGGTTATATTATCGCCAAATCAAATCGCCCTATATGTGATCTTTGTAACTATAATATATCCATACCACATATTTTGGTAGATTGTCCCAAGTTTATTAATGAAAGAAACAAACACTCAATACCTGGAAATATCAAAGATGTTTTAGGAGATAATTGTAATCCGAAAAACCTCTTTAATTATCTAAAGGATATTAATATTTTAAACAAATTGTAAATGAGTTTAATTTATATTAATATATAAACAAGTTTTACTTTAGTTACTAATAACACCATATTGTGAAATTAATCTTAACTTAAATATTGTACTACAAACCTACCCACTTAATTGTAATCTTGACTGTTTGTAATTTAATTAATTGTAAATTGTATATTATGTCCTCCCGCTAATAACTCCAAGTAGTTGATGCGGTTAATAAAGAAAAAAAATCTGCTTTTTTTAATTTTATGTTCTCATGAGTTCTCAGTTAACAGATATCGTTTTTGGATAAAACTAAAACAAACTTACCAAACTGACAAACGTTGCCTTCCCAGGCGCTGGAGCAATTGCACATAAAGGAGTTTTCTAGATTAATGCAGGAACCACCATTTTGGCAAGGAGCTGAGGCACATTCGTCAAAATCTGAAAACAAAAAAAGCTGGTTATTATTTTGCATTCAATGGTGCATCAATATATTCTTTATCTTGCATACAAAAATTTTTATCTTGGCGATTGGAAAACAGTAACATCCACTCTGGGTAAAGCAACCATCAAAGCAAAAGTAGGTGGAGGTTGTCCATAAGGAAGAGCTATATCCCCTCTACCTTGGACAACTTTGGTAGATGATCTCCTCAGAAAACTGTTCACAGAAGGCTTTTAGAAGACGATATAGCAATGGTTGTCAAGGGCAGGTTTGCCAGGTGGTGTCTTAGAGAATGCAAGCTGCCCTAAATATAGTTGACGACTGGTGTAAACAAGAGAGACTGATAGTCAATAATCAGAGAACACAAATCGCCAACTTCACAAAAAAGCAGCACTGCAAGGCCTAAAACCACCGGTGCTGAAAGGAACAGAGATTTCATTTGCCAAAGAAACAAAATACTTCGGGGTATATTTTGATGATAGGCATACATGGATGGAATACTCACATTCCTTAAACCACACAAAAAGCTACTATATCCCCAGGCAGATGTAGAAGAATATGCGGTAAGAATTTTGTACTTAACCCCAAAATGACTCTATGGTTATACATAACGGTTATTAGACTAATGATAACCTATCGTTCGGTGACGTGGAGGACAAAAAGGCAGCAAGTGGGAGGAATAGGGCTGCTAGGTACTATGCAAAGGCTAAGGATAGGTACTATACATATGCTTGTGTATTACGGGGCCCATAAAAACAACTCCTACAGCAGCGTTGGAAGTCCTGCTGAATCTACCATAACTTCGTATATTTATACAGGGCGAAACCAGATCAGTGATGCACAGATCAATCCATAGTCAGCGACATATAAGCCAGATGCATGGTGCTGACAACAGAAAGTTATTCGAGGAGTTAAAAGCCGATATTGTAATGGTACAACCTATCGATACAACAGCTACGAGATACAGCTTTAACAAAAAGTTCACAATGAAGATACCAGGCAGGGAATACTTAATCTTCTTAAGATTCTTAAGATCTATTAAGATCTTAATCTTTTAAATCAATGTGATAAGTACAGTTGGTATTTTTCTTCTTCGTGCGACTAGGATTACTCCTGTTTGTCTGCCTCTTATTCTGTTTCAGTCGTTGTTGACTGTACATTATCTTTCCACCTTTTTGGCGGCCTTCCAACGGGTCTTCTGCTATACCAGTTTGTTGTTTTCACAGATGTTCGCTAATCTATCTAGTCCCATTCTGTTTACATGTTCGTTCCAATTCTTTTTTTCTTGTTTTTACCCACCTGTTAATATTTTGCATTGTTCGCGTATACTTCTGTTGGTTTGTCTGTCCCCGCTATGCAATGCCCGCTATTGATCTTAATACTTTCATTTCGATATTGTTGATTTGTTGTTTCGTCTTTCTTGTATCGGTCCTTGTCTCCTTTGCATATGTTAGGATTGGTCTTACTGTTGTCTTGTATACTTTCATTTTGCTTTCCGTGGTCAGATATTTGTTTCTCCATATGGTTTCTCGGAGGCAACCACTTACTCTTGCCGCTTTTGATACTTGCCTTGTGGTCTCTGTTAAGGTACAGTTGGTATTGTTTGAAATAATTAATTTTCCTTTTTTTTAAATCAGATTAAAAGCCAATGGGGTTGTACTTCCATTAATGGTACTACCAATAATGTTTGAAACATTTTTCTCATTCTTCTTTTAAGCAATATACAACCAGTAATAACAATTAATCTGATGTGACAGTTTGCAAATAGCTGCTGCTACCTACGGATGGCTAAAAAACATCGGAGAGTATAAGAGACGGTGCAGTAGGGAGAAATCAAGGGATACATTGTCCCCTAAGACTATCTAAGGATAAGACAGTTGTCCAGGAGGAAATAACGGCAATCCATCACTGCGTAAAAAAAATAGAAAGGCAGGAAAGAACGTTCTGTTCAGTTGCCATCTTCACAAATAGTCTGGCAGCGATTAAGGCACTCAATTATGTAGAAGTGCTGAATAGGCACTTGAAGCTGATGAAATTATTAGATGATGACTTGTGCAGATTCTGACACCTCGAAGAAGAAACAGCAGAGCGCATTCTATGTGAGTGTGACAGTCTGGCAAATGTGCGGTTCTTTGCATCCAAATGATGAAAATCCACCCTCAAATAGCTACATGAAAGTTACCGTCTCGAAGCTATTAGACTTTTTAAAAACGGTCAGGCTAGAGAATGTGATCTAGGACTAGCGGACCACAATTGATCTAATAAGGTCGCAGTGGAATAGACCAAAAGGTCATCTCTCTAAATTTATCTATCTATCTTGACGATTCAGATTGCATGTGAGCGCTATTATATTTTATACTTTAAAATCTGGCACATGTCCTTTCCTATATTATTCAGTAGTTGTGACAGAGGTAATGTATCAAATGAACATTAAATGTAAATATATACAACTTGCATGAACATCAGGTATTTCATTCTAAAGTACTTATACCATCTTTGCTTTATTTCAACATCGAATCTTTCCCGAGACTCTTTTATTATTACTTTTAATCTGCCAAACGTAAGTCAAGTCCTTTCATGACTTCTTTTTCGCTTTAGCAATGCTGTATAACCTTTTATACAGCACCAAGCTCTACAGCCCTAGCACCAAGAAAATCATAGATACAAGACGTCTCAAACAAGACAACACATATGTGGAAACCAAATTTAAAATAAACGAGAGCTTAAGGAAAGTTAAAGAAGATAATGCAGAAACTCTAACTATTGACCAAAAATGGGGAAAAATTCAACATGCCCTTGTGTCAGTTGGAAAAGAAACCCTCAAACCACTTAAAGAAAAAACAAAACCTTGGATGACAGTAGAAATTCTTGAACTCATGGAAGAACGAAGAAAACATAAAGCAAAAGACCTGAATAAATACAAAGAAATTCAGAGAAATATCAGAAAGAAAATTCGAGAGGCAAAAGAAAGGTGGCTCTCCGATAGATGCAAGGAAATAGAAGATCTGGATAAAAAGTACGATAGCTTTAATTTACACAAAAAAATCAAAGAAATGACAGGTTCTAGAAAGCGTACAAAAACGAATATCCTTAAAAATGATAAAGGGGATATTATTACTGATATGAAGGAAAGATTATGTCACTGGACCAGATACTGGACCACCAATATTAAGAGAAGAAGTCATCTATGCCATCAAAAACACAAAAGAGGGTAAAGCCACTGGACCAGATGAGGTGCCCATCGAATTATTAAAACTCATCGATGAAGATGTTATTGATGTAATGGTTGAACTCTTTAATCTAATATATCAGACTGCCACAATCCCCAGACAATGGCTGCAATCAACCTTTGTAGCAATTCCCAAAAAACCAAGTTCAACAACTTGCTCAGACCACAGAACAATAGCTTTAATGAGTCACACACTTAAAACATTTTTGAAAATAATTCACAGCAGAATTGTTAAAACTCTTGAATATGAGATTAATGACACACAATTTGGCTTTAGAAATGGTATGAGTACAAGACATGCTTTGTTCGGCTTGGAAGTGCTGGCTCAGAGATGCATGGACATGAATCAGGATATGTACTTATGTTTTGTAGACTTTGAAAAGGCATTTGATAAAGTTCAACATAAAAAGCTTGTAGATATATTAAAAAGCAAAAATATTGACAGTCGTGATTTGAAAATTATATCTAATTTATATTGGAATCAAACTGCCAAGGTAAGAGTTGACAGCCAGTACACCGAAAATATCAAAATACAGAGAGGAGTCCGCCAGGGTTGCGTGCTGTCCCCACTACTTTTCAATGTCTACAGTGAAGCGGTATTTCAAGAAGCGCTCTCAGACTCAATAGAAGATATATCTATCAATGGAGAAGTTTTGAATAACTTACGTTTTGCAGACGATACAGTAATAATTACGGATAACAACAATGATTTACAGAACGTAATGCAACGCCTTAATGAACGCTGTCATGAGTACGGACTGAAGATAAATTTAAAGAAAACTAAATGCATGATCATGACTAAATCTGCACATGCAAATATCCAACTGACTATTGAAGATACTGCAATTGAGAGTGTTAATAACTATAAATACTTAGGAACATGGATAACATCAGATGTAGACCAAACCAAAGAAATTAAGACACATATTGAAATAGCACGTACATCATTTATTAAACTTAAAAAGTTTCTTTGTTGTCGGGATATAAGGTTAGAACTACGCCTGAGAATGCTTCGATGTTACGTGTTCTCTACTCTTCTTTATGGTTTGGAAGCTTGGACACTAAAACAAGTTCATCTGAATAAGTTGGCCGCCTTTGAATTTTGGTGTTACAGAAGAATCCTACGAATATCATGGATTCAAAGAATGTCAAACATGGAAGTAACTAGAAGGATCGGAAATGAGGCGGAAATAATATTAACTATTAAAAGACGAAAACTTGAGTACTTGGGACATGTGATGAGAGGGCAAAAATACGCATTATTACAACTTATTATGCAGGGCAAAATCCGAGGAAAGCGAAATGTGGGAAGACGAAGAATATCCTGGCTTAAGAACTTAAGGGAATGGTTTGAATGCAGTAGTGCAGAACTTTTTAGAGCGGCAGTCAACAGAGTCCGCATAGCCATGATGATTTCCAACCTTCGATAGAAGATGGAACTTAAAGAAAAAGAAGATAACCTTTTAATTCCCTCAGGTGTTATATAATCACCAAGACGCTCCAGTTTCTCATAAATTACATCATTTCAATGGAACGAGAGCCTACCATTCAAAATAATTGCAACTAAAAATTGCAATCTTGAGTAATCTCATGAACTAAAAAACTTTTAGTTTAGTTTCAATGAACTGGAAAGAAAGACTTCTATAATAGTTTTGAGATTCCTACTCCGATGCTGTAAAAGTTATTATATATTCTCCAAATTTAATTAAATGTATCTTTACCGAAAATACCAGGTATATAGTTCTCTAGATTTGATGAAATGGATACAAATCGGAAGGCGTGTTGTTGCAGCTTCACTTTGTTCATACTCACTTTCTCCTATAAATCACTGTAATTAAATAATTATGATACCAAGTTCAGATTGGAATTCGTCGAGAAAAAATACACTAACATTTAAAAATAATTAAATGCTTCTCGGTTGCCGAATTTTAGTTGTGAGGATATTGTAATTACTTCATCTTAAGTGTTGGAAATAACTGTATAGTTATGATTAGCTTGCTAATCTACTTAGAATATTTTTTAAATTGAGTAATTTGATTACTGGTTTGAACTAGTGACCTCATCTTTTTACTATGGAAAATATTTTAAAATGTAGATAGTAGACAAAATGCCTAGAAGTATCGAATATCTGAGGGTATAAAAATAATAACGGTACTCTCAGTAATAACGATCACATCCTTTGAATTATATCTAAAACAAATCCGCATTTTCTACTGGCCTTTATATAAAGAAAGAGCACGATACTAATCAACTTCAAATGTGAACTTTAGGAGAAGACGATGCAATTTTAAATTCTATCGAAGCTTACAGAGACCTTAATGTGGTAAAACTGTGGAAAGCTCATGTAAAGTGAATGGAATCCTTTGAACCAGCACGAGTCATAACAAATAGTATGAAAGCGATACAAAGATCGGCCAAATTTTTAAACAATATTACAATAAATAAAAATAACTTCATTTCACGAAAGACATTCACGACCAACCGTCACACATGTGTGACGGTAAAGTTTCCGTAAGAACTGCTGACACACATGTGTGACACCGAACTTAAGTGATGAAATGTAAACTATTTTTACCACGGTTTATCACAGTAGGTCTAAATTTGGCCACAGTCCACCTGAAGAATCCTTATTTCTCACGATATGGCTGGGTTATGATCTCGACGTTTAAAAAAACGTAAAAAAACGTTTAGACAGGTAATATAACTATGTAACTTATTTATACACAGTGTAATCCCTTATTATTTGTTTCAGAAGTATTAACAATGTCAAAACGAGAGACAGTACACGAGATCTTCAGTAAGAGACCGAGATGGCTAGAAGGGAAGTTGGTGAGTACAGAACAATGATGGCTATGAGTCTAGTAATGATGAGGGCAAAGCGAACGATGCAAATAAAAATGTTGTACAAGAAAATGATGAGACGGACTGGCTTAATGTTATCATCATCATCATCATTTTACTGTACAACTCTATGTGAGCCTTGGCCGCGTTTACTATTTTCCTCCATTGTTGTCGGTCCTGAGTAGCTATTTCCCATTGCTGTATTCCCATTTTGCGTGGATCACTAGCTACTGCGTTCTTCCATCTCTTTCTTGGGCGACCAACTGACCTTCTGACGTCGGGCGTTTCCCAGAATGTGGCGTTCAGGAGTCTTTCGTCACTGGATCTTGGTACGTGGCTCGCCCATCTTATTCGGTTTGCTTTAATGTAACGTACTGGCTCGATGTAGAGGAAGATATTGAGATACATTAGTTTACTGAACAAGAAAATATAAAAGTAGAAATTCCTGTTGACGCAACACCTATACAATATTTTTCATTACTATTTGTTAAGAGCTTTTAATAAAAATCATGGAGTGGACAAACCGCAGAGCTACTTCACGTAAAGAAAACCGTAATTTAAAGATATTCCTTTTTAAGACGCTGGATAGATATAAATATTGGCGACTATATGCAATGACCCAAAATTTTTGGATCTCTGTATATTAATGGGAAACAAAACTTCCCTTCTTACGTTTATACTGGAGCGCAGATAAATTATATCACTTTTCAATATTTGGAAAAACTATGCCCAGATCAAATTTTGAAGCTATTCTTCAAAATATTTGTTTTTACAAACCGAAAGACGTAAGTTCAAGATTGACTTCACAAAATTAAAAACGTTACGAGACATATTATAAATAATATCTCTAAAGTTTACGATCCAGGAAAGAACTTAGGTCTTGACAAAGCCCTCTTACTGTAGAGAGGGCGGTTAATATTCCGACAGTATATGTCGAAAAAAACTAGTAAATACGGAATAAAAATTTATGAGATTACTAGCTCTGATGGATTTTTACTAAATTTCCTAATCTACAGCGGCAAGGGGATAGTAGTAAAGAAAATGGACATGCATGTTTGAAGTAGTTAACAGGCTTGTTACTGAATATTTAAGGAAGGGGCACAGTATATACATGGACAATTATTACAACAGTTATGAGCTTGCCAATTTTTTACATAAATTGAAGACCTACGTTTGTGAAAACATAGAAAAAGTAACCCAAAGAGTGTAAATACAAAAAAAAAAATAATAAAAAGAAAGGACAAGTCGTATGACAAAGAAGAGGTCCAATCAGAGTAATAAAATGGAAAGATAAGAGAAATGTAATAATGATTTCATCCAAGCATGGTTCCGAAATGGTTGCAGTAATAAATCGTAAAGGCCAAGAAAAAATTTAACCCACTAATGATACGTGACTACAATTCCTTTATGCCGGGAATTGACAGAATTGACCAGATGACTTCATAATATGGCACACCACGAAAAACTTTAGATGGCACATGAAAGTTTTCTTTCACTTAGTAAATATTTGCATGTGGAATAACAACTGGTTGTTGAATAAAAATAGAAGCACGTCAAAGAAAACAAGAATTTCGTACTTTTGAGGAAGTGATCAAACATTTATTGGGATAAACATAACGGCAAAGCAGAAAAAAATTATTGCGGAACACAACCTAAAAAAGAAAATTAGCGGAAAAAATATTGACAGTGCAGTGCAAGCAAAAAAAGGGCCGTTACCTGGTACACATGTCAGGAGTGTAAGAGGAGTGACGGACAGCCCATTGGGTTATGTATTATAACTCTTTTATAAGTAGTAGCTAAAAATTTGTATGTCACATGTTTGTGACACTTGGGTTATGTTCAAATTTTTATTACTATAAACCAGTGTCACACATGTGTGGCATTATCCAAAACAATTTTTTTTATAATCCTTGTTCAATCATAATACTCCTCCCAAAAATGGTGGATTTACTAAAATGGTGGGAACAACTAAACTAAAAACTTAAAAAAATGCAATATTAATTTTATGTCTTTTAGTAGAAAATCAAAGCTTTAAAATACAAATAAATACTAATCGATTCATCTTTCTTACTTATGTGACCACAATTTAAAATCAGTAATATGTAAATTGTAATCAGTAACCCAAAATTCCAATTTTACAACTCAACAGGCAATAAAAGCTCTTTATTTTCGAGTCAAACACGAAGATAACTCATTAATATACCACCATAAAAGTTCAACGTTGCCCTTGATATATTTTATGTGATTGGTACTCCGTGAAATGCTAATAGAATCTTTGGAGAAAGTCAAAACTATAGGTTTCCGTTTGGATTTATTTCGGTAATAAATTTCGAGAAACATTGGATATAATTAGTAAAAACAGTCAAAACTCGCTATAAAAAAACTGGAATATTATAATTCTTATCTTGGTGTTTTGTTTTATATTTAACGCCCATGACATTTGAGAACTGTTATGAGAACTATTTTATAATTCATTCATACTGGTTTACTATGTTTGAGCCGTTATTCTTCATTAGTGTACGATATACAGATAACAGAAATAATATTATACACACAAACAGTGCTGTTGTGTCTAAAATATTATAATAGCAGTACACAAAAAGAATGTAATAATGCAATAAAAAGAATACTGTAATAATTAATCAAACGAACAATTTGTAGAAAACAACAGAAAACAAATAAAATTAACCGACTAGTATCAACAAGGATGACTGAAGAAAATAAGAAACCAAAAAGTTGCTAAAAAAATTAAGTTAACCCTTTCGGCCCTGATGGTGGCAATTAAGAAAGCCAATAATTCGGCAGAGATATCTGTGATATGAATTATTTTATTTTAACATAATTCTAATAGAGGGCGGCTACAGTCCCTATATAAGATGATTTATATGTATTTGAATCATTTGGAATGTAAACAGGTTTTGTTGGTCTACTTGACATAATGGCTGGTGAATGTGATCCTTTTTCACTTGGTAAGTATTGGTTTTTTTTGTTCTAATATTGCTATTGTATTAAAAAAATTTTTATGTAGCTGTTGGTATTTACTAACTATTATTATGAAAAGTTCATTTAAGAATAAATTTTATTTTTTTCTGCATTTGCTTATGCAGGGTGGTGAATCGTCAAACGGGCCATAGGAAACTTAATGAGAAATTCTAAATTGTTGAATTCCTGCTTCCCTAATTATTTTACACCAAAAGTCATGGGAAACTATTTGTAGAGGACTCAAATATGTATCGAAAACAATTGTTAAAATTGTTCTACGACTTAAACGTATTTCAAAATTTTGCTAAAATATAATACATTTTTCAGACCACCCCTAAAAGTCAAGCCAGACGCCGTGAAAAGAATGTGTATTACGTGATGCGTTTTGTCATATTGACGTTTCTAATATTTGACAATATTTAAATCAACTATATTATATTATTTATCCATGATTTAAATGGCCAAAATTTTGTGATTTAATATTTAAAAGAAAAATTAAGTTGATTAAAAAATGTACTCAGTTAAGGAGAAAAGAGCAATAATAAAAATGTTTTATTAATGTTTTATTAGGTATAACATTTGTTATAGTTTTATGTTTAAAAATTATCGTATATTATTATTAGGAATAAAGATCACAGTAACAGTATATTGGAATTCATTGAATTGTTTTATAACTTAACATGGAATTAAATTTTAGTGTATTAGAATATCTTACGTTAAATAAAGATCCGGTAGTGACAGGAAAAGGTTCGCGCTATTGCCTGAATACAACATTATGCGATTTTTCGTCAACTGAGTACATTTTATTATATTGATCGATTTGTAAACAATATAATTTATTGTTCACAAAGTAATATTGTTCAGTAGTAGTAGTATTTAGTAAAATTCATTGTTTATAATTTAATCATAAAATAAAAAAAAATTGACAATTCAAATTGTCAAACATCTGACATAAAACCAGATATATGTAAGAATAAAACACACACGTTATAATATATCCTTGTATTACGTGTGGCCTAACTTTTAGGTGTGGTCTGAAAAATCTATTATAGTTTTGCAAAATTTTGAAGTACATTTGATTCGTAGAACCGTTTTAGTATTTGTTTTTAATTTAGAATTTAGTCCTCTACAAATAGTTTTTTATGACTTTTGATCTAAACAACAATTTAAAATTTCCTATGGCCCGTTTGACGATTCACCACCCGGTATATGGTATGGTCCTATAAAAGACGTACGCAAATGCCACCAGTACAGAATACAATAGATTATAATTTATGACAAGATTTTAAACAATTAATTCTTTTCAGATGAGGTTCCTACAATTGTATTTTACGGGAAAGGGAAAACTGGAGTTGATGTGACCCTTGTCCTATCAGAAGAAGCATTAGCTGCTCTGAATGATGACTGTTCTGATGTAGAAGATGATGGAGATTCAGTTTATGAAGAGGTTGATATGTCAACATCAAATGATGATGAAGTAGCATTAGAAAAGAAAAATTCCTCAAAAGACTTATTTGTGCCTTAATAACTTCTTGGTGGCAGTTGCCACCAATTTGTAAAATGAAAACTAAGGGGCCAAAATGTTATAAAAAATATTTTGGGAAATATTTAGGTGTCCAATTAAAGAAAATACCAACAGAACAATTTTACCTTTGAAAAAAAATTGGGGCTGAAACAATTAAATTAGATAATATGACTTGGAGTGTGGACTACGTTACAAAAGATAGGAAATAGTTGACTAAGTGGCACACATACCAGATGAATGTGTAACAATATCTTAGTACGCGTGTACAAAAAAAATAGATGTTCAGCAATGTAAAACTAAGAAAAAGTAATCTATAGGCTGATAAATGAACAAAAAAATATATACGAAAATCAGTTTAGATTCAGTTTGGAATAAATTCAATTTTATTATAAGTATTTGATAGAAAAACTTGAATCAAGAAATAAACGCCCACATAGCATTCACTAATATTGGAAATAAGTAAATAGAGTATATAAAAAGATTCTCTAGTAAGCACTCAATGGTAAGGAATCCCCATAAGTATGTGATGATTGATAGATGATAGATGATAAGAGATACGCATATTAGATTGTCCTAATAACTAGTGTTAGGATATGTATGGATGAGACTGATCAATAGTAGGTATAATGCTCTTGATGCAAACAAATCACAGGAAATGAAACAATTGTTTTACGTAGAAATTCAGAACATCCTTAACCAAATAGTAAATTCAGAGGAAGTTATGATTAAAACTATGCGAATTATATTAACAACTTAAAGAGAAAATACAGAAATTATCTAGAATCCAGTTATCTATCATTAAAAATTATATATATTCGACTATACAATGCGATAAAAGAATGATGGAGTATAGGAAGAAAGGAAGTATCATAATTGAAAAGATTAAGGCACTGGTTTAGATGAAGTTCAATAGAAATCTTCAGAGCAGAAATAGATAAATTAAGTACAGTCTCCAATTTGGAGCCGGCACTAAAGAAGAAGAATACAAGGAATTGCACGTGGCGTGATTTAGGCTTTTTTGATAGAATAACATTTTCATTAGATTAGATTCCTCGTTGAATCTTGAAATCATATTGTTAAGTAATGATGGCATCTATGGAGCTTTTTGTCATAGAGAGGAAAAACTACAAAATATGGTAAAAATAGATAAAAGAAAACATATAAAATTATTATCGTATTGTACAGAAAATATCACATTCGTTCTGTTACAATGTTGGCTTAATCTAACCACAAAAGAAAAGAAAATTATTAGATGAACAACATCAAAAAAGGAAAATCAGTCTAGATTCACCAACCGTAAGCGGTGTAATTTGAAGCTCCAGGAAGGGTTTTATTGTTTTCATCAGGTTCAGGTGACCATAATGGAAAGATATATCCCTACCACTGGTATAGGGACATATCTTTCCATTATGGTCAAAATCAAGCAGTAAATAGAAATTTAAAAATGGAGGAAAAAGATCAAGACTTAGTGCACGTAATTTGGGTAGAAATTGAGCATAGATGAGCATAGAAATTTTATGCAAGAAAAATATTATTAGTGATTTTGTACCTGTTTTAAGATTATATCAGTAAAAAGCAAGTATAAAATAAATTATTACTAGTAATAAACTATTTAGAAGCCTAGTTATCGAGCTTCATAAGAATATAGAGAAATCATTAACCGCATAAAAAAATCCCCACATTCTTTACTTATTTATACAGTTCTCGTTTGATTGATCAATGAATCGTAAAGCAACAATTCTTCACCATGATGAATACATCCTTGAGGCAGGAGGAAAAATCGGTATTATCAATTCTTATTGCTTTTTTATTTCCATAGCTTTCAACAATTCCTTCTAGCATATAAGGCCGATATAAAAATACCAGTGCCATAAAAATGATGATATATCACTTGCCCGCTTTTAATTGTCATTTATAACGGACAGTTAATTAATAATGATAACGAACGTCTTACTTCATCTATCGAAAGGTTCTAAGAAAGTTCTGTGCAGTGCCGGGCTCATAATAACAGATTTTAGATTGTCATATTGGATTAATATTGCGTAATGGGAAGAAAATAAATGTTTTACTTAATATTTTAACTTTTAGATATAACGTTTTTGTCAAAATATAAAATATTCACCATTCTTGATGGTTCTTGACAAGATGACATCCTATCGACAAAAGCGCCAAAAAATGCAAGAGTTTATAATTATAGAGGGCAACGTATTAAGCTTAGAAGCTAAGAATGCTTAGTAATCAATCACAAATTAGTCCATGAACTTTTAGTCTCAGATTAATTTTAATTTCTTGAATTTTGATAGTTTCATTGTGTATAATTGTGAAACATGTCGATTAGTAGCTTAATTATAGTTTGTTCAACTTCCTGCAAACTATAGATGGCCTAATAGGCACTGAGAAAATGTTTTCTTTCAAAATTAAAAGGTTTTTATTCTATGCAGAGGGCAGTACCCTTTTTTGACGAATCGTAGCATTTAAGTGAGATTAAAAAAATATAGCTTCGGGACTAGCTTGCAGTTCTACCTTTTATTATTTTAAAAAGCTTACGGCTATATCTAGCTTCTCTACAACTTCCTGAAGACTTCTATAGAATAGACACGTAGTTTCAGTTCTACGTACCAACAAGCGACTACAGCGACAAACGGCTTCAACTAATATTCCATACAATGCATATCCAACGAAGAATCGAATAACTCAACCCCCAATGTCCATAAAAATAAAATTATTCTCAAAAGAATCCAAATTATAATTCTCAAAAAATACGGCCGATCGACCTATGGTCTGAAACTGCTTCAAGCGACCAAATAAGACAACACACCAAGATTACCTAATTACTTAGATTCGAAACGTTGACCAAAGCGACAGCGACCTTGACACACCCAAAATAAATTGTTCAGTTAGTGAAATTTTAATAAGAGACCTTGAGGCTATACAACTCATTATACATTGGAAGCATTTTTAATATAACACATTCTTAATGTAACAACTCGCAAGCATAATATCAAAAAAAAAAACTGCAATGCTCAAAAAAACGGAAAAAGGAAAACAAACCCTTAAAAGCTATTCCGGAATAAAGACTAAACATTAAAGTGATAAAAGTAAACTGACCAATAAATTTCAAAAATACAAAAAAAATTGAGAAAACTAATAGAAAACAAACCAAAAATCATTTAAAAACTCGTGTTATCTGATTATCAATATCATTCATGTCCATTATTTAATAAAGGACATCCTTAATCTTGCCAATCTATCTCGATCCTGAGTTCTTTTAATGTCATTAGTCAACCGTATACAACAAATACAAACCATATTTTTAAGTGAAACAGGCTTGTATAGAAACGTTCAACTTATATCTCAAGAAAATGCAAATAATGTTGTCTAAATCCCTAAAAGTACAACAATAACGAATATATTTAGAAAACTTAAACAGAAATATATAAGGTCTCCCAATAAGAATGTCCTGATGTTTTTTTTTAACGAAACGGTAAAAATTGCTGTAAATCAAAAAAAGAAAAGTTTATTGCAAAATATAATAGATAACAATTATGTTCTGAATAACACATCATTCAAATGTCCCCCTCTACTACGTTTGCAGGAGCGAATCCGATGAACCCAATTTTCGGTCACTTTATGCAAAATATCCGCATTAATCTCACGAATGGTGTACTCTATATTCCTCTTCAAGTCTTCAATGGATTGTGGTTTATTCACAAAGACCAATGACTTAAGATAGCCCCATAAAAAATAATCCAATGGTGTTAAATCGCAGCTTTTTGGAGGGCAAGCATCTGGTCGAAGTTGCTGAATTCTCCTGGGATCTCTGGCATCAAGAGAAATCAATGTTTCCGGGAACTTTTCCTTCAATAAATCAATGGTTGGGGCAGTAGTGTGACATGTGGCACCGTCCTGTTGAAAAAACATGCCATCCAAATCCATTTCATCCAACTGAGGCCACAAAAAATCCGTTATCATCGTTCGATACCTTTCACCGTTAACTGTTACACCATGTTCGAAAAAATAAGGTCCGATGATGCCACCATGCTATAAACCACACCACACAGTGACTTTTTCTGGATGCAAAGGTTTCTCAAGAATCTCATGTGGATTATTTTCACTCAAAAAACGACAATTTTGCTTATTCACAAAGCCGTTTAACCAAAAATGAGCTTCATCGGAAAAGATTATTTTTTTGAAAAAATCGCCATCATTTTCGAGTTTGTCTAGAGCCCAATCAGCGAACAAACGACGCTTATGATGGTCAAGTGGCTTCAGTTTTTGAGTCAGAACAATCTTGTAAGGGTGTAGGCCTAAACATTTTCTCAGAATTCGCCAAGTTGTCATTCTGGCGAGTCCAAGTTCCTGAGAACGACGATTTACGGACACATTTGCATTCTCCGCTACACTGGCTATTACAGCAGCAATATTGTCCTGAGTTCTTGCATTTCGGCGTCTAGTTGGTGGTTTCGTATCCTGCAAAGTAAATTCACGTTCAAACTTTTCCACGATTCGACGAATTACACGCACATCAGGACGATCATTTGGTCCATAACTTTCACGTAATGCACGATAGGTATTCACAAAAGAACGATTATTAGCATAAAATTTTAGGATAATTTCCAAACGTTGTTCAAGCGTATATCTTGCCATGGTAATTTGTTAGAGTATACTAAATACAAACGTCAAAAGTGACAGTTCCATCATTTTCAAAATGGCCGCTAAGACATTTCAAAAACAGGACGTCCCTATTGGGAAACCCTGTACATCAGATAAGTTTGGATAGGCGTAATATATGAAAAATCGAGGTATATTAAAAAATGTAACAAAAACCTCGTACACAATTGGATAAATAAGAATCAAAAAGATAAAAGAATTAATTAAGGACTTAATTAATGTTTACATACGCAACAGGCTACGCCGGTCCTGTGTGTCAATCACAAAAACCGGACTTTACCAGCTTTGTGAGAATTGGTTTAATAGGGTTTCGAATCAAAACAGATTTA